TTCCAGCGGGATTTTCCCATTTTTGGGATCCCAGAGAGGTTTTCCAGCGGGATTTTCCCATTTCCCGGATTCTAAGGCAGTTTTCCAGCGGGATTTTCCCATTTCCGGGATCCCAGGGAAGTTTCCAGCAGGATTTTCACATTTTTGGGATCCCAGGGAGGTTTTCCAGCAGAATTTTCCCATTTCCCGGATTCTAAGGCAGTTTTCCAGCAGGATTTTCCCATTTCCGGGATCCCAGAGAGGTTTTCCAGCGGGATTTTCACATTTTTGGGATCCCAGGGAGATTTTCCAGCAGGATTTTCCCATTTTTGGGATCCCAGGGAGGTTTTCCAGCAGGATTTTCCCATTTTTGGGATCCCAGGGAGATTTTCCAGCAGGATTTTCACATTTTCAGGATCCCAGGGAAGTTTCCAGCAGGATTTTCCCATTTTTGGGACCCCAGGTAAGTTCCCACCGGGATTTCCCGCATTCCCGGGAATCAGAAGCCGGATTTCCCGGAGCAGAGCCGCGCGTGGGTCTCGGCGTCCAGGGGGACGTAGCGGCCGCGCTGGGGGTCGAGCACGAAGAGGGGATCGGGGACCAGGCGGGGGTCCCAGCCCTCCCCCCGCAGCCGCGTCTTCTGCAGCTTGAAGGTGCCTGGGAACGGGAAATTCCCAACGGGAACGGGCTGGGAATGCGGGAATAACCCACGCACCCACTTAGGCCACACCCACTTAGGCCACGCCCCCGAAGGCCACACCCCTTTAAGTCACACCCCCCCTTTAGACCACACCACTTCAAGTCACACCCACTTGAAGCCACACCCCTTTAGGGGCACACCTCTTTAGGCCACACCCATTTATGCCACACCCCTTTGGTCACACCCCTTTAAGCCACACCCCCCTTAACCCACACCCCTTTAGGCCACACCCTTTTAGACCACACTCCCTTTAGGCCACACCCCTTTAGGCCACACCCTTTTAGATTACACCCCCTTTGAGCCACACCCCCTTAGGCCACACCCCTTTAGGTCCCACCCATGTTAGGCTCCACCCTCTTTAGGCCACACCCATTTAGGCCACACCCCTTTAGACCACACCCCTTTAAGCCCCTCCCCACAGCCCCATTTAGCCCCGCCCCTTTAAGCCCCACCCCTCAATGCCCACCCCATTTCCTGTGATGTCATTTCCGGCCACGCCCCATTGAACCACACCCACTTAAGCCACGCCCTCAATGCCCAACTCAGCCTCGCCCCTTTAGGCCCCACCCCTCAAACTCCGCCCAGCCCCGCCATTTTCTTTCCCATTTCCTTTCCCGCCGTTTCCCTTCCCATTTTCTTTCCCGCCATTTTGCACTCCGCCATTTTCTTTCCCATTTCCTTTCCCGCCGTTTCCCTTCCCATTTTCCTTCCCGCCATTTTGTGCTCCGCCATTTTCCTTCCCGCCATTTCCCGCTCCGCCATTTTCTTTCCCATTTCCTTTCCCGCCATTTTCCTTCCCGCCATTTTCTTTCCACCATTTTCTTTCCATTTCCCGCTCCGCCATTTTCTTTCCCATTTCCTTTCCCGCCATTTTCCTTCCCGCCATTTTCTTTCCACCATTTTCTTTCCATTTCCCGCTCCGCCATTTTCTTTCCCATTTTCCTTCCCGCCATTTTGTTCTCCGCCATTTTTTGTGCCCCGCCCCTTCCGGCCCCGCCCCTTCCGGCCCCGCCCCTTCCGGCCCCGCCCCCGTGCGTTACCGGTGCTGTCGAGGCGCGGGCGCAGGCGCAGGAAGACGGGCCGCGCGTACGGCGGCAGCAGCGGCGTCAGCGCCCGGTACAGCCCCGCCACGTCCAGCCGGCCCTCGGGATCCGCGATGGCCGCCATGCCCGCCCGGCCCTCCACGCCTGGAGCGGGGAAAAACGGGAATTTTGGGGGGAAAAACGGGGATTTTGGGAAAGAAATCAATGTTTTCAGAGGGAAAATGGGAGTTTTGGGGGAGAAATGGGAATTTTGGGGGAAAAAATGGGGATTTTGGGAAAGAAATTAATGTTTTGAAAGGGAAAATGGGAGTTTTGGGGGAGAAATGGGAATTTTGGGGGAAAAAACGGGGATTTTGGGAAAGAAATTAATGTTTTGAAAGGGAAAATGGAAGTTTTGGGGGAGAAATGGGAATTTTGAGGGAAAAAATGGGGATTTTGGGGGAAAAAACGGGGATTTTGGGAAAGAAATTAATGTTTTGAAAGGGAAAATGGGAGTTTTGGGGGAGAAATGGGAATTTTGGGGGAAAAACCAGGGATTTTGGGGGAAAAATGGGCATTTTGGGGGAAAAATGGGGATTTTGGGTGGAAAAATGGAGATTTTGGGCAAAAAAATGTGAATTTTGGGTAGAAAAACAGGAATTTTGGAGGGAAAATGGGAATTTTGGGGGAAAATGGGAATCTGGGGGGAAAAAACAGGAATTTTGGGGGGAAAACGGGAATTTTGGGGAAGAAATGAGTGTTTTGAGGGGGAAAATGGGAATTTTGGGGGAAAAATGGGAAATTTGGTGGAAAAAATGGGAATTTTGGGGAAGAAATGAGAGTTTTGAGAGGGAAAATGGGAATTTTGGGGGAGATCCTGGGAATTTCGGATTAAAACCAGGAATTTGGGGATTTTCATTCCTCATTCCTCACCCCATTATCCCAAGTTTTCGGACCCGGATTCGAGCCATTCCCAACTCCCCATTCCTCACCTCCATCTCCTTTTCCCCCCATTCCCACCCCAATTATCCCGATTTTTTTTCTCCCAGGGGAATTCCCACAACTCCTCACCCAAATCCCTCCGGAATCTCCCTTTTCCCACCCCGATTTCACCCGGGAAAAAGCCGGGATTTTTTTCACCGGATTTTTTCCCGCTCCCGGCCGCGTTATCCCGAATTTTTCCCCGGGATTTACCGGGAATTTCGACGCCGTAGACGGCGACGTCGGTCTGCTCCAGGAGGCGGCTCAGGGCGCCCTCGACCTCGGTGCTGGAGACGTTTTCGCCGCGCCAGCGGAAGGTGTCGCCGCCCCGGTCTCGGAAGTACAGGTATCCCAAATCATCCATCACCAGGACGTCCCCTGGAAAACGGGAGAATCCCGGGGAAATTCCCGGAAAAATGAGGATGGGAATGGGGGGAAAAATCCTGGAAAAATTCCCAGAAAATCCCACCTGGGAATGGGGAAAAAATCCCGGGGAAATTCCCAAAAAATCGAGGGGAAATTCCCGAAAAGTTGAGCGTGGGAATGGGGAAAAAATCCTGGAAAAAATCCCAGAAAATCCCACCCGGGAATGGGGAAAAATCCCGGGGAAATTCCCAAAAAATCGAGGCTGGGATTGGGGGAAAAAATCCCAGGAAATTCCCAGAAATCCCACCTGAGAATGGGGAAAAAATCCCGGGGAAATTCCCGAAAAGTTGAGCGTGGGAATGGGGAAAAAATCCTGGAAAAAATCCCAAAAATCCCACCTGGGAATGGGGGAAAAATCCCGAAAAAAATTCCCAAAAATCTTACTTGGGAATGGGGGAAAAAATCCAGGAAAAATTCCCAAAAAATCGAGCCTGGGAATGGGGGAAAAATCCCGAAAAAATCCTGAAAAAATCCCCAAAAATCCCCCAAGAAATCAAAAAAAAAATCCAAAAAATCCCCCCAAAAATCCCAAAAAAATCCCCAAAAATCCCAAAAAAATCCCCAAAAAATCCCCAAAAAATCCCAAAAAAATCCCCCAAAA